TTTTTTTTTTTTTTTAAGAGACAGGGTCTTGTTCTGTCACCCAGGCTGGAGTGCAGTGGCACCATCATAGCTCATTGTAGTCCCAGACTCCTGGACTCAAGTGATCCTCCTGCCTCAGCCTCTCTAGTAGCTAGGACTACAGGTGTGCCACATCTGCCTAATTTTTACTTTTTTTGTAGAGATGGGGTCTCACTGTGTTGCCCAGGCTCCAAATTTGATGTCAGACATGAATGTACACATATGGGAAACTCAACAAACTCCAGATAGTATAAACTCAAAGAGATGCATGAGACACATTGTAACAGCGGTTATCATTTATTTATCTGTTATTACTACTACTATTAATGCTATTGTTATTATTACACACTAACACAGTGAAGTGGGGCAGTTGTTTTTATCCCACATCCTTCAGCTACTTAAGGGCAGGCCGACTCCGAGACCTGTGGTTAAATGGGAGAGCACAGTCCTTGGAACAGGTCTGTACTCCTGTACTCCTGTCCTGCCTTTCACTAGCTCTGTGATTGAGGCCGGTCGCATAACTTCTCTGAACTTCAATTTTCTAACTTTAATTAATTAATTAATTAATTAATATTTAGAGACAGAGTCTCGCTCTGTTGCTAGGCCGGAGTGCTATGTGCAATCTTGGCTCACTGCAACCTCTGCCTCCCAGGTTCGATTCTCCTCTCTCAGCCTCCCGTGTAGCTGCGACTACAGGTGTGTGCCACCATGCCTGGCTAATTTTTGTATTTTTACTGGAGACAGGGTTTCTCTATGTTGGCCAGGCTGGTCTCAAACTCCTGACCTCAAGTGATCCGCCTGCCTCGGCCTCCCAAAGTGCTAGGATTACAGATGTGAGCCACTATGCCGGCCCTAAAAAAACACACACACATACAAGCACACATATATATTTTGCCCATTTCTTAATGGAAATTACTATTAGGGGAAAAATGACCAGTTTGCACTTGAGGGAAATGAAAATTGAGATTGTTTTGCCCTGAAGTCTGGTCTTGAAAACACACATACACTTGCCATTTGATTCATTCTTTAATACCCACACACAAATAATACAATTCAACAAAATTATCTGTATTTTAACCTACTCATTAGAGATTTATATTTGAATGGAACACATTCATTATTCTTGTTTAAAGTATAATTTATTTGTTGTGACAGAAGTGTTTTTATAGCATAGATTTTTTCTATATTGGCTGCTCAGACATGGTTCATTCCTATTCTCTTGCCCTTCAAAATCTACTGGTGTGGACAAATGGGAAGCTGCCAGCAGCCTCAGAGCTATTTCTCCTTTCTCCTTTCTTTCTTGAGTCACATGAGTCACAGAAGTTCCTTGTAACCTGAGTGGGTTTGGTCAGAAATCTGAGATCATCTTGAAAGCAAGGAAAGATTCTTCCCACAGAAACTCAGAGGGTGCAGGGGAATCATTTGGCAGTGAACGAAAGTTGAGATTGGCTGCGGAATTGGCTGCCAACCTGTTCAACCGATAGGGAGAACTCTAGGTGACTACGTTCCGGCCAGATCTAAATATTTACAAAAAGTGTAATATCTGTCCTGAAAGATCCAGATGAACATCTGTGTGACCCAAGCCTACCAATGAGTGCCTCCAGATCTTCGTTTTGGTCTGAAACCATGGCAGCAGAGTTGCACATTTGAGAATGTAAAGCCTTCATTTACACACATTCCGTTCCCAGCACCAGCTTGGAACTGAATGTAGGAGAATGCAGTGGAGGCAGAAACAATTGTTTCCCTAGATTCCCTTTAGAAGAGAAGTGTGCTGGTGAGAAAGCAAGCAGGATATAAATAGCATCTGTGATGGGGCTGCTGAAGACTCGGTTGGCCAAGCTTTCGAGTCTGATACTCTTGGGCGTAATCAAGAGGAAAGGCTTCAAGGCTGAGCTCTGGGGAATCTTGGCGGCTAAGGTTAAGGTTGACACTGGAAAGGCGGTTGAGGGTATGGTTGGCACTGGAAAATGGCATCGGAACCTCTGTTGGGTGCTGGATGGGCACTTGAGAAAGGAGGCCAATCTGATGGAATGCTAGAGCCAGATTCATGAGCAAAATTCAGTCAACCCTTCTCCAGTGCCAAGTGTTTTCAGAGGAGGGGGAAAGCTGGGGGTTAAACAGAGGGTTAAGTAACAAAAATAAGGAAGAAACACTTTCTACCCTTACGGTCTGCATAGTTCTATGAGATGAGGTGGAGACCTACTGAATTTATACAACTGCTGCATTTGTTGTTGGGGTGGGTAGTCTCCTCCTGCATGTAATATTGTCTTTAATAGATGAGGTTAATCAGTGCAGACATGATCCAGAATGGCACAATTTTATTTTCTTCTTGCTAATTTCAAGGGCTTGTAAGAACTAGATCCCATCCAGACCTCAGGACAGCCATCCCTGCTTTAAAGTTAGTGGAAAGGTGCCCAGTCCAAAGCCCCGACTCTTTCTGTGATTTCTGAGGCACTGGTAAGTTTTATATGAAGGGACCTGATTACACGTTGGTTCTCTGAGGTTAACTTGCAGAGAAGCAGAGAAAGCCAGGCCCATAGTCCTGAGGGGTTGTCTGATCCTGGACAAACTGGAGGTTGGCGGGAATACCTCCAAGACTCTGAGTGGACCGTAGCGGGGTCTATAAGGAAGAGGAAGAGACCAGGCATCTGTAATCCCAGCACTTTGGGAGGCTGAGGTGGGTGGATCACTTGAAGTCAGGGGTTCAACCTTATGGCCAACATGGTGAAACCTGTCTCTACTAAGTGTACAAAAATTAGCCCGATGTGGTGACAGGGGCCTGTAATCCTAGCTACTGGGGAGGCTGAGGCAGGAGAATCGCTTGAACCTGGGAGGCGGAGGTTGCAGTGAACCGAGGTTGTGCTAATGCATTCCAGTCTGGGTGAGAGAGTGAGACTGTCTCAAAAACAAATAAACAAAACAACAACAACAACAACAAAACAGGAAGAGGAAGAAGGGGAATGTCCAGGAGTCGACTCCGGCCTGTGGAGTCTTCTTCCTGCCTGGAGGGTGCTTTCCAGTAACGTAGCATTGTCTAATCTTCTTTAGCATTTCCCCAGGCCAGATGTTTCTCTGGCATCCCCTAACCCAGAGAGTTGGAATGCAACTACTTTCTTTTTCTTTTTTTTAAACTGGATTTTATTAGCCTGGAGCTAACAAGTCTTGACTAGAAACAAACCTTTTCTTTTCTTTTTTTTTCCCTTTTTGGCATTTATGTCAGGGAAGCAGGAGCCTAGGAGAGTCAGAGTGACACCATTTAAAAGTGAACTACGTCTTGAAACTAGTAAGCACATTCCTTGCCAGTCACAGCCCATGGTCCTAAGATGTTTACAGTTGAGGAAACAGACCGAAGATACCAACAAGGACACACTCGTATAACAGCAGAAAGTCCAGCTGTCCCAATACCCTTAACAATATATGCTTTCAAGATAATTATAGTTATGCTTTGATGGACTTACACACTAAAATGTCAGGGATAGTTTTCTTTACATCAATAAAGTAATAAATTTTGTCATGCCATCAGCCCATCCACACACAGGCACAGCTTAGTTTTGTCTTTACATAGACAAAGCCCCTCTACAAGAAAAACTTAGAGACAGTGTTCCTCCATCTGCTTTCTGAGAACACCCTGCTCTGTAATGGAGTAGCTTTCAGTAAACTATCTCTTTTCACCACACGCTGCCACTCACCTTGAATTCCTTCCTGTGTGAGATCCAAAAACCCTCTATTGGGATCTGGATCAAGACCCCCTTTGTCCAGTAACATTTACACAAGGGTTCATCCTGACAATGGCCTTGAGGAAAAAGCTACTATCTGTTTTCTTGCAGAGGGAAATCCACCAAGGAAACAGTTAAGACATTCGTATAATAGTTTCATTAGGCATAATCACTTTACAATTTGTTGTTGAATATAATTCTCCCTTTGAACACATTTTGCAATGCGTAACTGGCGGGAAAACAGGCAGCATGCTACGTGTCTTTCAGTGTCTGGGGGCTTGTGAGGACCACCCGTTGTTGGACAGTGAGAAAGTCTAATGTTTCTTGTTCTTGGTTGAATCTTGTATTTAAAAAAGTCATTCAAAAACAAGATATTGTTATAGTTTTGATGTAAGTCTAAGAAAAGTGGAAAAAATAGGATATGGAATAGGAGTCTTCTTTTGGCCATTTGCTTTCTGTGTGGCCTTAGACAAGTTACCTACTTTTCTAAATCTCCTTTCTTGAACGTTTTTGTAAATTAAAAAAAAAAAAAAAAATTAGGCCGGTGTGGCGGCTGACGCATGTAATCCCAGCACTTTGGGAGGCTGAGTTAGGTGGATCGCTTGAGGTCAGGAGTTCAAGACCAGTCTGGCCAACATGGTGAAACCCCATCTCCACTAAAAATATAAAAATTAGCCAGGTGTGGTGGCTCATGCCTATAATCCCAGCTACTTGGGAGGCTGAGGCAGGAGAATCACTTGAACCCGGGAGGCAGAAGTTGCAGTGAGCTGAGATCGCACTACTGCACTCCAGCCTGGGCAACAGAGTGAGACTCCTTCTCAATTAAAAAAAAAAAAAATCAAATAGAGACAAAGTCTCACTGTGTTGCCCAGGTTGGTCTTGAGCTCCTAGGCTCAAGGGATCCTTCCGCCTTGGCCTCCTAAAGTGTTGGGATTACAGGTGTGAGCCACCGTGCCCAGCTTTAAATTTGTTATAGATAGCTCCTTAGAGGGAGGTTAGAGAAAAGAAAGGGAACAGGGAAGAAGACAGGGGAGGAAACAGGGAGGTGCGAAGCTGGGGGCAACAGCCTGTGAAAAGCTGTGGAAATTCCTAGTGGAGTGGTGGTGGCCAAAGGCCACTTTGAGAACTACAGACATTATTGCTATTTCTATGTTATCAATCCTTCTTTGTACAACTCCCCAGCCTCTACCCCCAATCCCTTAAAAACCCTTTGGTTAAAGTCTACTGTATCCATGAAGGTTTCGTGTGAGTGGGAATTATTTGTGGAAACTGAGGAAGATGTTTTCACATTGTGTCTATGTGGTATTGAACAGAAACAGCTCCTATGGAAGTGGCGTTTGGAGACACAGATGACCCTGAGAATATAAGGACCTTGGGAATTTGCAGACATCTTGGGGGAGGGTTTTTGTTTTCCAAAGGGCATGGGACAACGGGTTGGGCAAATCTTCTATAGGTCTCAAGGTGCAGGGAGAGTCAGCTGATAGATAGCTGAGCAATGCGTGGTAAGAAGACCCTCTTTTCTAGGGAACTCACAAGGTAATTTTCCAGGCTGACTGAGTTCACTGCCAGATTTGCAAATGGGCTGCAGAGGAAGTCACCTTTTTCTGTCAGCTTCAGAGTAGAAAGTAGAGGCAGGGCTCTGGTCTGGACAGAGAAAGCTCTGTGGAGGGCAAATCAATGAGAGATAATGGTGAGGACCTCATGCGGAATTCACAAGTTCAGCTCACATTTCTGACTTCCCAGCCTCTTAATTCTTTTTGTGCTTACTTTCTGTATGGCGCAATGAGCAGATCATTAAATACTGGTCTGCTTTTTATTGGTAAGATCCTCCACGATCTTGGTCAACTTCCAGACAGCCTCCCCCATTCCCACACACCCACCAACGTCACCACCCTGACTGCCCACAGGCTGGTACACGTACCTCTGGTCTTTGTTTGAGCCAGTCCCTCTGCCTGTAATACCTCTCCTGGTCAATCTGCTCATAGACTCAATGGTAACCTCTATGAAGTTGTTTTCCCCTATTGTCACTAAGCTAGGCATGACACTCTGTTGCACTGACTTGCTAGGAGCCTCTGTCCCCATGGGAGGACCAACTTCATAAGGCAGGTTCTGTTGTCAACAGTGCCTGACATATCATACATAGGTGCTTTATGTTTGCTAAACGACCGGTACCACTTGGTCTGTTATCCTATCAATAAACCCATTATTACATGAGTCCCTTGTTCATACCTGTGTTAGATCATTAATGAAAGGACACCTCATGTCAGTCACTGTGCCTGGTGCTGAGGGGGCAGTGTTTGAGCAAGACGGCCTGGTTTTCACCCTCAGGGCACTTACAGTGTCTTCAGAGGGACAGATTTTAAACAGATGATCAGTTACCTAGGTAAGAATTGATCTGTGATGCACGCTGTGGTGAAGGGGAAGAAATTCTGAGGGTGTATAACTGGGAGCTTCTATTTGATTTGGGAGTTCAGGGAATGGTTTCTTGAGGAAGTGTTTAACTTGTCATTATCTCTGTATAGGCCTTGCCTCCCTAACCTCACCTCCCTAACCTCATTGTAACATTCCATGAGTAGGGACTTCTTCCCATCCCTTTTGTGCCCAGCCCACCACTGTGGAGTCCCCTGCTTTCTGCATCCCCCATAATATGTGGGGCTCCACTCCCCTTGACTCAGCCTCGCTGATCAAGGCCATGTAACGTGGTATAAACGAGCAGGGAGGCCAGCGTGTTATCGCGGGTGTGGAAGTTAGGAGAGGTTCGGAGAGCACACTGTCAGTGGGATTGGGCCGTTTCTCTTGCAGATGGTCATTGTTTGGTCTTTCATCTCTTATTGCTTGGAATGTGGAGGCTTTACGATGTGAGATGAAAAGAAAGCCCTTGCCCTAATTGGCCTTGGCTGACTTCTAAGCAACTGCTGTCACTGGGAGGCTGGATTGTAGTAGCTCCCATTGGGTTCTACTCTTGCAGTCACTCTGTGGGCACAATAGTCCCTCCTCCAAAGCCAGTTAGGTCCGACCAGGCCCAGTGCGTGGAGGGAGAGGGCAGCGTGGTTCGACAGCATCGTCATCATTACCAGCTTCCACAGAGACGTGGCTGTTCAAGCTGACACAGCCTGAGGGTCAGACTGGCCCTTTCAGTACAGAATGGAATCTGAAAGCTTTAAGTACTTCCCAGCATGTGTTTCCTAAAGTAAACCTAATGACAGATCCTAGCTGGGAGGAATATTTGTTGTTAAAGTGTAATGCGATTCCAGGTGACCTTACCTCAGAAGCTGAGTGTGTCCATTTCGTGTGACACTAGCAAGACAGTTTTATTATGCAATCATCACACTTTCTGTTAGCGAGCCATTTCCAAAATGAAGCCATGTTTTAAAAAACGGTTCTCCAGTTTGAACGTAGGAATATGAAACAAAGAGGGTGCTCAGTTCTTTCTGAGGATGTTGAGCATAAGTGTGTGTGTGTGTGTGTGTGTGTAAAAACGAGGTATGTGTGGGAATGTGGTCTGGTGTGTGCGTGTCTGTAAGATACGTGTGTAGTGTGTGTATATGGTATGTGTGTGGTGTGTAGTGTGTGAGTAACATGTGTCTGGGGGTGGTGTGTGGTGTGTGTGTGTGTGTGTGGGGTATTTGTATGGTGTGTGTGGTGTATGTGTGGGGTGTGTGTGCGGTACCTCTATGGTGTGTGTATGGTATGTACTTGTGTGTGGTATGTACATGTGCATGGTGTGTGTGGTATGAAAGTGTGTGTGGTGTGTTGTGTGTGGTATGTGTGTATGTGGTGTGTATGTGTGTGTGTGTGTATGGTGTGTGTGTGCTGTGTGTGGTGTGTGTGGTGTGTGTGCTGTGTGTGGTGTGTGTGTGGTGTGTGTGTGTGTGTGGTGTGTGTGTGGTGTCTGTGGTGTGTGTGTGGTATGTATGTGTGTGTTGTGTGTGGTGAGTGTGTGTGTTGTGTATTGAGTGTG